TCCTTTAACATTTATCATATTGTAAGTTTGCTATTACCAAGTTCTCTCAATATTTGTTTGCCTGATAAAGTTTGTTTTTGCCTCCAGTTCTGACAGTTATTTTCATTGGGTATAGATTTCTAGGTTAGCAGGTTATTTTCCTTTTAGTACTGTAATGATATTCTATTGTCAGAAACTTGTGGTTTCTGACAAAAAGTCTGCGATGTTTGTCTTTGTTTCTTTCCTCTGGTTCTTTTAGAATTGCAAGATCATAATTTTCATTACATTTGGGAAAATTCTGGCCAAATATTTCTTCACATATTTTTCTGATGCCTTCCCCCCTTTTATTCCTAGGACTACAGTTACACATACAACATATACACATATAAACACATGTGTCACTTCCTGTTATATGACAAGTCATCATGGCTCTGTTAATTTGTTTTTGTCTTTTATTCTCTTTGTGCTTCATTTTGGGTAGTTTTAATAATGTCTTCCAGATCATCTTTTTTATTTCTGGAGTACTAACCTGCTGAAACTTCTATTCAGTAGAATTTTCATTTTGGATATTCTGTTTTTCATCTCTAGCAATTCTTTTGGGCTCTTTTTATATCTTACATTTGTTTCCTCGATATATTCGTGTTTTCCTTCAAATCTCTGAGCATACTCGTAACATTGAAAATAGCTATTTTAAAGTTATTTTCTGTTCTATTCTTCACTTGTTTAGTAATTTTATTGGTTGCTGGACATTGTGAATTTTACCTTGTCGAGTCTTGGATTTTTGTCATTTTTTGTTTAAAGGGTGTTCAACTTTGTTCTTGTAGGCAGTCATTATTATCTTCAGATCAGCATAATCTTTTTAAGATTAGTTTTAGGCTGTGTTTAGGATACCCTTTATTCTAGGGCTAGCTTAGCCTACTTCTGGAATTTTTAGTAAATGCACGTTTATTCAGTGAGATGTTTCTCCGCTATGAATGGCGGGAACTCAAATGATTCCTGACTTCATTTGAGCCCTGGGAAATGTTTGGCCTAAGTTCACAATTAAAATTTCTTCTTCTAGCAGTTGTCCCTGCCCGGCCACCACAGCGCTCAAATTGGTACTTAGCCAGAATCTCAAGCGTATACAGATTCTGAATCTCGATCTCTCTCCTCTCTCTCTTTTTGTACTCCCTGCTCTTTGATTTTCTGTGCTGCAAATTCTAATTGCCTCGGCATTATGTAACCATGATCTTTGTCTCCTAAACTGGGAAAAGACCGACAAACTATTTAGTTTTCTCTTCTCTGCCCTGCCATCTGGAAATGCTGTACAGAAAAAAAGCTGGGGTGATTATAGGGCTCACCTTATTTCCCCTTTTTCAGGGGTCACAGTCCTGCACTTTTGTTATCCAATGTTTTCAAACATATTTTTAATGTTTTTTTTCCTCCAGATTTTAAAAAATTGTTTAGTGCTAGGGCAAATCTCATATCAGCTACTTTTTCATAAGTGGAAAAGCAGAAGTTCATCCCGGCTTTGGTGTTGTGTTTTGTTTTGTTTTGTTTTGTTTGTTTTGTTTTGTTTTGTGTGTGTTTGGTATTTGTTTAGTTCTCTATTTTAATACTGTATTTCTGTCAAGACTTTAGCTTTTCCCCTAACAATGTAACTTCATTTACTGTTTTACACTCACACTTTAAACAAATTAGAAGTACAAAAACTGCAGTTTTAATCATTTAAACGTAAGCACAGTGGTGGCTGAAAATAGAAACTTTTAAAAGGGAGTTCCCAGTAAGGGCATATCTTTGAAAAAGAAAACCGCGGTAACTCTTTGTATAACTTAATCTGCCTACAAAGCTGTTTTCGTTTATAAAGTTGTATTGTCTCTACTGTTACCAGTCATTTCTAAGCACAACATGCTTTAACAATCTATACTAGCACATGGAGCAAACATGCCTTGAAAGGCTCAAAATGCAAATGTAAGCTATTACTCCAAACATACTCTGCACAAGGACACACGACCTATTTAGGTCCATTCACTTGCTTGCTGCCTTCCCTGGGCTGCTATCCAAGGCTTTTACAAATAAAGTGGAGGGGCCCCATTTGTCACACTTTGTCTTTGATATGGGACTCTGTCCGAGGTAATTTGATATCTCCTGTCCCATTTAATTCTGTATATCCTACTTACAGATAGTTTACAGGCAGTATAGATTTTGGAGTCAAACAGACTTGGGCGATTAGCTTTATCTCAGATTACTTAATGTCCCTGATAAGGCTTTTCTCTTTAATCTTACCTACAAAACGGGCACAACAATATATAATAGATAGGACTTTTGTGGACATTGGAGGAGAGTAACATGCTTTACACACCGTCTGACATATAAGGCCTCATCAAAAACTGGTGCTGTTACTGCTGTAACTCGTCTTCTAAATTTCATAGAAAATAACATTTTGCTACATATAGAACTTATACAAATCAACAACAAAGAACAAACAATCCAATTAAAATACGGGCAGAAGACCTGAATAGAAATTTTTCCAGAGGAAATACAGATGGCCAATAGACATATGAAAAGATGCTCAAGGTCACTAATCATCACAGAAATGCAAATTAAAATCACAATGAGATATTGCCTCACATCTGTCAGAATGGCTATCATCAATAAATCAAAGAACAACAAGTGTTGGCAAGGATGTAGAGAAAAGGGAATTCTCATACACTGTTGTTGGGATTGCAAATTGATTCAGCCACCATGGAAAACAGATGATTGAATAAAGAAGTTATGGTTCATATATACAATTGAATATTACTCAGCCATTAAAAAATGAAATCTTACCATTTGCAACAATATAGATGGACCTAGAGGTTATTATGCTGAGTGAAATAAGTCAGAGAAAGATAAATACCATATGATTTCAATTATATGCAGAATCTAAGGAACAAAAAGAACAAACTAATCAAAAACAGACTCACAAATATAGAGGACAATGTGGTGATGGCCAGAGGGGAGGGGGGTTAGGGGGCTGGGAGAAAGGGGTGAAGGGTTAAAGAAGTACAAATTAGTAGTTGATAAGAGGATCACAGGGACGGGGAGCACAGCATAGGGAATTCAGACAGCAATAATGTAATGGCCATGTGTAGAGCCAGAGGGGTAATAGAGTAATCAGGAGGACTGTTTCATAAACTATATAAAAGTCTAACCAGTGTAATGTATACTTGAAACTGATTTTAAAAAGTTATTTTTAAAAAGTCTGGTTATAATCTTCACAGAGGAAATAATCAAAACTCTAAGGGGAGAAAAGACATTATGAAAAAGAATAGAAAGGAAACAAGAGATATGACAATAATTTTAAAATCACCCAGAAGTTAGTGCAGAAAAAAATAAAAAGGAACAGAATATATGAAAAAGAAATTAAGAAATATGGAAAACAGAATGAGAAAGTCCACTATGCCTAGT